CTTGTTCCTTCTGTTCTAAGCAGGTTTTCTTGAAGTCTTGTCTTGTTTCTGATTCTATCCTCAGGGGCCTGGAAAGGTTGTTTCCCAGCCAAGAATCTGCGGCCACTTTTGGAGGGTGGGATGTCAGGCAGGTGTGCAGAGACTTTGGGTCTAGATGGAGGGGAACAGCACAAAACCGTCACTCTGCACTCTGCTGCTTCGTAAGCATGCATGGCGAATAATTTAGGGGTGATTTGCAATGGAATTTTGGGACCCAAAGAGGGTTTTTCCCCCTCATTTTTTCCTAAACCTTCCTTTTGGGAACCACGTGAAAGTCTGAATGCTGCTACCATTATTCCTTTGAGAGGTGGTTCAAAGCTCCAGGGGACTGCAGGTCCTTTCTCACCGCCTTCCCTTCAAGACTCGCTTGCTTGCGCTCCCTCTTTCCCCTCTTTCATGTGGCTGGGTCCCGGAGGGCACTGTTTCCTAGGACAGGAGTTCGCAATCACTGTGCAATAGTCCCAGGAAACTCCCAGCCCCTCCTGGTGCCCTGGTGGGTGTTAGGGGCCTGCCTTTCCCGGTCTCCTAGGGGTTCTGGCTGGTGGTGGGCCTTGCCGAGAGCCATCTTCCTGGGCTGCAGAGTGCCTGTGCCCTACAGGACTACCTGGTATTCTTGGAGGGTGGCCACTAAGCCACAATTTGGGCACTGCTTTATCTCCTTGGTGCTCAGAGCACCTGTGGGGGAGGTTGTCTGTAAAATCCAAATTTGTCTGTAGGTTGTGCAATATTTACTGTTCTTAGTTGGGGAAAATTTTGGAAAACACTGGGAAGAAATGGCTGTCCTTCAGGTTCGGTGACAGTGCTGAGGGGGCCTCAGAAGGCCTCCAGTCTCTCAAACTGAAGGACAGAGTTAGAGCCAGCGGGTCACCTTCTCCTTAACGAGGCCTCCCCTGCCCCATTTCTCTCCACTGCCATGGCATCCCGTTTCCTGGGTTTCTTAACTCCTCAGTTTCTACGCAAAGGTGCTATTTACCAAACACTCTACCCAGCCTGCTCTGGCACTCTCAGCTTTGCACAGCCTTCCCAGGCGGCTTCATCTCTTGCTTTAAAGTTAACTCTGGGCCCACAGTCTCGAAAGCTGTGGGTTTAAACAAAGCTGTGAATTGCTGCAGATGGTTCTCGTGTCTTGTCCACAAACAGGTCCCTGCCTTCTTAGAAGCAGCCACCTGGTCTCATGCTGAGATCTGTTCTTTCTTGTCGATGTTCACTTTAAAAATGACAAAACCCCCAGAGCTGGACTGTTGAGCAGGCCTGTCTCTCTTATTAAGTAAAAAATAAGTAATAGTGGCACGTTTGTAAGCTATTCTGACAGAGAAGACAAAGGTTACTTAATTGTATAATAGCGTTTTTATATGGAAGACTGTACAGCTTTATGGACATATGTACACTTTCGTTTTTAATAAAAATGTAGCAGATTACGTGTGGTGTAGAGAAGGTAACATTCCATACTGCCGACGGGCATTTCCCTCTCAAATCCAAACCCTTTCTTTGTGTTTTGTGGTATTCATCAGTTGCCCTGGGTCTGTCTGTAGCGTGCAGATGTTACAGAAGATAACCTAGGTGTGTGGTGATGTCATTCCCGTGCGATCCCCCTACTCCAGGAGGAGCTCCCTACTTTTCTGACTATTCTCACGGGTCTCTAAAAATATGCTGTTTGAACATTCGGCAGCCTAGTTAGTCCATCTTCCACCCGTGGCAATTCAGCTCGCCTGTGGAGCTGGCCTTCTGGGTCCACGGCTGTGGAAGCAGCCAGCCATGGCTGGAAATCATACAGGAAAACAATTCAGGAAGTTCCAAAAAACAAAATGTTGACATGCCCCACGCTAAACACACCAGCCCATGTGATGTGGCTGCAGTCACACGCGAGCACACTGATGTTCCTCCTGGCACCCACAGGTCGTCCGTGGGGTCCAATTTGAGCACATCCAGTCATATGCTGTGACCTCAGGCCCACAGAGGCAGCATCTGTACCTGGCAGGTACAGAATTTCCCTGGCCATTCCAGAAACAGTATAGTTGAACATTCCCAATGTATTAGGCATTGCAGACAATCTTCTAATTTAAACTGTGTGGGAGGATACTCAGATAAAATTGCTAAGTTATTTTATAGAGGACACTTGAGTATCTACAATGGTCTTGGAACCAATCCCCTAGCAGATGCTTGGTGACCTGACTATATCATCAATGACTATGAAAAATAATTAAAACACACTGTTTCTCACAGAACTCCAGTGGCGAGCAGAAGTTGACCCTTGTAAACTACTTTTGACCACATGGAGAGGATCTATGCAAGAATAATAAGTTGTTGTGCTTGGTTTGGGGGGTCTTTCCTAGAATTTTGATAAAGACTCAGCTCCCCACTAAGGCTACAGGCACATTTTTGACCCACGTTGGATGTTTCTCTTGGCCCAAAGTGAGCTGTTCTAAATTTTTAAGCCTACTCATCTCATTTCCTACTCCACAGTTTTGTACACAAACATGCAGCTTGTCCTGAGTGTTCTTGGTCAGAGTTAGACAGGAAAACTGGGTGCTTATATCCTACGTGTGAGGAGAGAAAGGGAGTCAGGGCCTGGGCAGGGGCAGTCAGTGCGTCCGTGTTATGGATGGAATATTGGAGCCCGCTAATGTCAGGGGTGCCACAGGAATGTCCTTCATTTGTTCCTCTCTGTTTGGATGCAAGGACAGGGTTAGGGTCCAGGAATGTCTGCTCATCTTTGGCGTTCTATTCTTTTGCACTATTCAACTCAAAGTCTGCGTCTATCTTCTTGCTTCCTAAAAGGCCCCGATCCTAAGGGACATTTCAGCATTTAGTGGAAGACTTAATGACATCCAGGGAAGGTTGTCTGGAGGCCAACAGGACAGGCCAACCCCACCTTTGTCAGGGAAAACACAGAATGGTGGATTGATCTTGGGCTTGCTTTTGGTTCTTGGTAGGCTACTAAGGGCCACTCCATTTATATAAGAGGGCTCTGTGATCCAGGAAGGTGGTACTTCTTTTGGACCCGACCAGTATCAGTAGGAGCAGAGAACACCTACTAGCTGCTGGGTGTCTTGGGCTCTGAATGGAGTAACAGGTAGTTGCTTTTCCTGGGATCTAAAACTAGGCTCTCAGCTCCCCTGCAACTTGGTAAACCAAGGCAGCCTAGAGTGCTGTGCATGGTCAGCTGTTTGGGGATGATAATGTCCCTCCCCAGAGAGTCTGGGCAAGGCGCTGGCAGCTGTAGATTAAGTGTCCATCATGGCTTCTGATAAGGTTTGGGTGGAGGAGGCCTTGAAGCTGCCAAAAACAAGCCCCAGGAGGAAGAAACCACTTCTGTGGGTCTGGCACTGGTTCCTACAGCTTTTGGTGAGAAAGGATACCGAGGACTCAAGAGCCCTGGTTCCCAGGTCAGCATCAGCATTCCTGACCTCATGAAATTATTGCAATAGAAGTTTGTGGTTGAGAGGGAAAATATTCAGTTTGTGATTCTTTACTGCAAGTAACTTGTTAAGTTTGGAAAAGTCATTCAGTTTTTCTTGTCTTAGAACCTAGCAGAGTGAGCTGAGTATGGTGAATGATGTTATAATCCTAGCTCTTGGAAGGCCGGGGTGGAAGGATAACCATGAGGCTAGCCTGGACTACAGAGTAAGCTTCTGTCTCAGAAAGAAATAGATGGAGGGGGAGAGGAGAGGAAGGAGGGGAGAGAGATGGGGGAGGAGGAGAGAATATATATATATATATATATATATATATATATATCATCTAATGTCCCTAAATGCCCCTGTTCTTTTCTCAGTCTAAACCATCCTTTCCTGCCACCTTGGCAGACACTGGAGAACCAAATGAGAACCATTACCATCATTCTTTTCAACTAGGTGAACCGAAAGGTAACTAAGGTGGGAATGGAGTCAGGGGTTCGTCTCTAGCTTGCATCACACTGCTGCCTGCTAAGGTTCCCATCTCCAAAGACAATGAGGGGGGCATGCATGGAATTGAGAATGAAGACATAAGAGCCAGGGGAGTCTATTTCAGGTCTACTCCCTGGCCACTGACTGGGCAGCATGGGGCAAGTGGCCAGCATGGCTTAGTTTCCTCAGGTTTGGAGTGGGGTTTCAAATGCAGCCCATTTCAACAAGTCACAAAGATGGCATTTGACCTACCAGTTGCTTAGACTGGTTCTACTCCTCAGTGAATAAGAATTCCCATTGCCGATGGACGTTAACCTCATCTCTCAAGGGCCCTGAATTGATCTTGAGGTCAGTGTCAAATAAAGTAATACAGTCTGCTAGTTTCTTCAGGTGTGATTGCAGTTAATACAATCCTGCGGCCTCTCCCTCAGCCTTTGTGTGAAAGTCCACTTACTTCTAGAACCCTGGCAAGGGTAACTTGAAAGTAGGCACACTGATTGGATGACCTCTGCCATTTTCCTGGAAAAAGCACGGTGCTCTTGCTACTCACTGGGCCCGTGACCAGGTTGGCTGGCTCTGTGGGCCTGCTTGTGGGTTAACTTCAAACCAGCTACGTGCTAATCCACACACAGAGTGGGTGGGGAAGGGGTTCTCCAATAGCAGCTTTCCCTGTCTGTGCACTCACCCCCACATGCTCTCCCTTCCCAGAAAGGAAATAAATGGGGAAGGTGAGTCGGGCAAGCCTGAGCTCTCTGGCTTTGTTTCCTTACGATGTCTTTGCAGAGTTGGCAGAGAAACCATTTCTGTTCAGTCTGAGAGGCTGCCAAGCCTTGGGATAATGATCTCTAGCAGGACTGTGCCCTGGATGCGTGGCCTTTCCCCTGCTTTGATAGCCTGGCTATCAAAAGTTCCAAGTTTTTTTTTTTTTTTTTCCCCAGCAGAAACCCGGCCCTACCACTTACCACCCTCATTCCCACAAACAAGGGCGGGCCTTAGCTCAACCCTTGTCCACTGAGCCGGACAGCCTGTCTGGAGTACATCAGATAAGAGGCAGTAACAGCTGGGTGGGTTGAATAAGTGTTGCTTTATTTACCAGCACTCGGGGAGAGGGCGTTTAAACTCTGATGGGCATCAGGCAGTATATGAGTGAGGACAGCTGGGTAGAGGCTGGAGCGAGCCTGCAGAGTGAGTCTCAGCCTTGTTAGAAAAGGGCCTCCAGGCCTTGGCTCTAGTCCACTGTCATCATGCAAAAGACACAAGATACTGTGGCTTTATTTGTTGTTTGTTTGTTTGAGACAGACTCACAGGTATCCCTGGCTGGCCTGGAATCGGCTATGTACCCAAGGGTGAACGTGAACTCCAGAAGCTCCCGTCTGTGTCTCTTAAGTACTGGGATTATAAACACAGGCTGGGGATTAGACCCAGGGCTTTGTTCATGCTAACCAAGCACTCTCCCATCTAAGTTACATCCCATCCAGTCCATGGTTTTTTTTTTTGTTTGTTTTGCTTTTTTGACAATTATATGCATAGGACCCTGGGGTATGACTTCTGAAGCATCCAGAAATGAAGAGGTGGGGGTTCCTTCTCCAGCCCTCACAGGAGGAAGGTTCTGTGTTGAGGACATTACCCGTAGACTGACAGGTCCTGATCTCCAGAGAGGCACCTCTGACTCCTTCCTAATGGAGCTAAAGATACACAGGGGCCTACCTCTGCTTCCCCCAGGACGTAGGAAGCAGCTTCCTCCATGTTTACCCGGTGCCCATTCACCTGTGTAAGGGACTGTGGCCTCTGGATCTTTGCCCAAGGAATGCGCCATCTTCTTCTGTCCACCCACTGATTCCTGGGGAACTCACACCTCAGACAACTTCTCTGTGACATCTCCTTGGTAGGATACACGGCTTTCCTCTGGGTTCTCAGGAGGCTCACTTCTCACCACTGGCCCTTGTAACTTGGAATCTGTGGGAAGCTAGAACACATCCAGGTTCTAATCACATCCTGGGTCTAATCCCCAGCCTATGTTTATAATCCCAGTACTTAAGAGACACAGACGGGAGCTTCTGGAGTTCACGTTCACCCTTGGGTACTTAGCCGATTCCAGGCCAGCCAGGGATACCTGTGAGTCTGTCTCAAACAAACAAACAACAAATAAAGCCTGACCGCTGTCTGGTCCTTCACAGGTGCCAGTGAATACTGATCCAGGGAGAGAAAGTTGTAGGTGACCGGAGTGGAGGAAGGCAGATGAAAATAATTTAGATCAGAGATGATCTTTAAAAAAAGAAAATGAAGCCCATTCAGGATTGGTCATTATTAGTATGTTTCGGCTCCAAATATCTGGGACTCACTGGGAGCCTGTGACCACATCTTATTAAGAAAATCTAGGGCTTTGAATCTCGCTGTCTCTCGGGACTTAAGAGCCTATACTGACACATCATAATACGCCTTAGTTATCCATTAACTCCCTAAGTACATCCACACAGTAATCACCAGGAGAGAAGGCTAGGCAGCTCCGGGGAAGGACTCTGACTTTGGCTGTTGAAGCCTGAACAGCTGCAGCGCCCTATTCAGTCCCCAACAGTCTCCTCTCCACAGCTGATCTGGACTAGCTGCTAGGTCGTGGGAACAGCCCCAGAGAAATGGGAGGCCTCCCTGCCGGGCTGGTAGGAAATGGCAGTGCTGGTGAGGTCTTTGGCACCCGCAAAGACCTTCCCTGCTGTGGGTCTCGGCTTTCTTAATTTTAAGGCAACTCACTGTGTAAGCCAGTCTCACAAATTCCGGTTCTGTTTCCAGATGGAATGGGGGATCTCCGGAACCTGTCGCATTTCCCGACAGCACAGAGCCCAGATCTTGCCCTGTTGCCCCCAAGCACCCAGGCAGCCTCTGCTGGGGCTCCTGTGCCCACTTCCTTCCCGGCCAGCATCTTGGGACAAGCCCAGATTCTCTCTCACTGTGTCATTTTTCCCTGTTACCTTTCTTTGCCATTCTAAACCCGTGAGATGGCAGTAAACCCAAGGCCAGGACCCTTCCCCTTGTCACATCTTTTCCTGTTTATGTTTCTCCAGAGCAGGGGTCCTCAACCTTCCTAATGCTGCAACCCTTTAATTCAGTCCCTCATGTTGTGCTGACCCCTAGCCATAAAATTATTTTTGTTGCTACTTCGTAACTAGTTTTGCCACTGTTTTGAACTGTAAATATTTCTGGAGATAGAGGTTTGCCGAGTGGACAGCAGCCCCTAGGTTGAGAACCTCTGCACTAAAGCCCTGCGTGCGAGTCCTTTTTTCCTTTGTCCGTGTTTGTGTGGCACGGGAGTTCTTCCTTTTGGAGTCTGAGCACCTGCCCTGTATACCCAGGCACTCGGTCTGATGCCGTGCAATGCCATGGTCCCCAGCTCTCTGAGATACAGTGACCTTGACCACAGAGGAAGAAAGCAAAGCCCTCGTGATCAGAAGGGGAGGGTGGGCATGGTCTTAAAGCAGAGTGTATGCTTGTTCCTCCCTCTACTGCCTCTTCTGTTACCTGCCCTGAAGAACTCCACCGTCTGCTGTATATGTGTCCTTAGCTCAGGGCTCAGGAAAAATGTCCACACTCTCAGAACACCGCGTTGCAGTCCTTTATGATGCATACACATCCCATTGTTGTTTGAACTTAAAATAAATGCAGTTAGTCCGCACTTTTTTTTTTTTTTTTTTTTTTGAGACAGTCTCATGTTGCCCTGCCTAGCCTTGAACTCAAGATGTAGCTAGCGATGACTTGGAACTTCTTTTCTTGCCTCTACTTTCTGAGGGCGAGATTGCACGTGTGCACCACCATTCCTAGCTTATGTGCTGGGGATTAAACCAAGGGCTTCGTTCATGCTGCCAATTGAGCGTCGACCAGTTGAGTCCTCTACCACCTGAGCTACGCCCCCAGCTCCTGGTAACACTTCTTATATTGTTCTCCAACTGCCACCCCAGGCTTCTCCACGACAGGAGCCATAGTCTTTCATTGTCTATTCTCCCTGTGTGCTGGTCTACCAGTTTGTACAGAGCAGGCCTCAGCACACTGCCAGTGGAGTGAAAAGATCAAAATGACCACTCATGCCCACAGGCAGTTGCAGGGCCTGCTCCTGTTCTCCTGTCCTCCCATTCTGGGGCTAAAAGAGACTTTTCCCTTTGGGAAATTTTCCTAAGAAAGGCAAGTAGCTCCACAAGCTGAGTCGGCCTACCTGTGCACGCAGGGTGCACAGTCTCACTTGGGCCAACATCATCCGGGTGGACAATGGTGGCAGAGCTTCCTTTGATTGTTTCAGCTCAGATTGCTCAGTCCCGAAACACAGCTTGAGATAACAGGCAGTGAATGAGCAAACAGCGGTGGGAATCTGGACGGATGAGCTCACGAATACGTGTACATGCACTCCTGAAGGAGCTTTCATACATAGAACGTGGGCTCATTCCTTCCTCAGGGGCTCTGATTTCATGCTTGGACCTCTGGCTTAAAGAGGCTCAAAATCAGAGGCTGGGGTGAAGATATGAAAAGCCCTCCAAGGAGTCTTTCTTGTCCTGGTACTGTGAAAGCTGGTGCCCGTGTGTGTGTGTGTGTGTGTGTGTGTGTGTGTGTGTGTGTAAAGGTGGGGGTGAGGTGCTGTTCAGCTGTCAGTTCTCAGCAGCTGGTGGATGCCAAGAGCAGTGCAATTAAGCACTGGGCCCCTCCCCCAGCCCTGCATCCCCAAACCTTTTTTTCTCTTGGGCGGCACTCCCTTGCCAGCTGCCCTCTCCTCCAGGTGTTTCCTGTACCCTCTCTATTTGCTGGCTGGAGTGGGGAGGGAGTCTGGTCTGGTTTCTTGTTAGCCAATGGCAGCCCAGCGTAGGAGGCCCGTGTTGCTGTATCTGGGGAGAACAGACCACAAACAGCAGCTGCCTCTTGGCACCTGACTTTCAGAGAGCATGTAAACAGTGATGGGTAAGAAGGAAGACCAGGGCAGGGCTGCTGGTGAGTCACTCGGGAGGGAGGGAGCATTTTTGTAAGAATCGTGTTCACAGCTCTGATCCCCAATTTTCCTCTCTAGAGGGAAAGGAGGGATCAGGGCCTAAAGTGGGGGTTACCCCCAAGGACCGAAACATTTATTAAGTCAAATCCTGGTGTAAGAAACCCAGGGATTTGACTTATTAAACACCAGGTGACCCTCCTCATCCTTCTGCCGTGAAATGGATGGAGTTGCCTGCAGGAGATCCTGGCAAAGTCTCAATATCCTTAGTCCATGCCTTGAAATACCTAAATGCTTGCCTACCTCAATTCCAAACCTCATATCCCAGCCACAGCTGGGTTTCTCCCCAGCCACTCACTCAGGCAGGCAGGGAAGCGATTTGAGCTGAAATGATACACATAACCTCATGATGGTTTCACTTCTGCCTTTGATCCGGCTGGGCTGTTAAATCTGAGAGACCAGGGCTGAGGGTTTGGATGCCCTGTTTTGTCTGTAGGGCTTGCAAAGGGCCTGGCACTTAGTAGGTCCTCAGCAATAGTACCGTGGTTGAAAACATAACCCCAGAAACCAGAGCAGCACACGACAGAAGCGAGACACACATCTCATGAGATCCTCGGAGCGACCCTGTGGGGCTGGCACCGCATGTGACAACCAGAAGACAGAGGCTCAGCTCGAGCAAACTGTCCACAGGCACAGCGCTAGGAAATACAGGACTACCTAAATAAACAGAAGCAGCAAACAAGGGAGAGGAGGGGAGGAAAGACAAGAGGCAGAGAGCAGGAGGATAAGGAGATTAAAATGAAGCCTCTAACCATCATTAGCGAAGCCACACTGAGTCCAGGCTTTCTCCCGGTTCTCCCCGCCGCTCTCTCTCAGCCTTCAGGACCTTTATCCACAGCGGAGTGTACTCTCTGCAGGTAGTGTACACAAGGGAAACAGTCTGGAATCAAAATCACACATATCAATTATGGCCAGGCTCAGACTGCTTCTTCTTGTAACATTGCTACCATTTCTTTAATGATGTTTATCTTACTGCTGGGGATTGAACCTGGGGCCTCCTGGACACCAGCAAGCTCTACTGCCTTCCTATATCCTGGGCTCTTTAGACTTTTTGTTAGTTTATTTGTTGTTTGCTTGGGGTGGGGGAATCTTTTGAGACAGGGTTTCCCTGTGTAGCCCTGGCTGTCCTGGGATTCGCTCTGTAGACCAGGCTGGCCTCAAACTCACAGAGATCCCCATCTCTGCCTCCCGAGTGCTGGAATTACAGGCGTGTGCCATCATGCTGGGGTTTTACAGGAGCGTGCCATTGTGCTGGGATCACAGGCATGTGCCACCGTGCTGGGGTTTTACAGGAGTGTGCCACCATGCTGGGGTCACAGGCGTGTGCCACCGTGCTGGGGTCACAGGCG